GGCTGGCTATAGACCTCTACACCTGAGAATTGACTTGATGAGCTCTTGAAGTGACTGTATCAGATGAGGGAAACTCAGCTTTATCTGTGTCCACCATGGCCTTGGATAAGATGACTACAGCAAGTGAACTGTAACCTTTCTTCTGGAGTTGATGGATTAGATTGTTACCTCTTTTAAAGTTGTACAAGTGTTTGACTTGACTCTATATGAAGGGTGTTTGAATTTACCACAAAGTTGCCAGGTCAGTTTTCCATCATTAAAAGATGGAAGTAGCTGGGCAGCCATAATAGTTAGATTAGTGGGTGATTCTCCAAACACATGAGAAGATATGTTGTAAGCCTATCAGGTAAGTATAGTTGTGCTGTTGTCAAGTTCATCACCACCCAAATTTTGATAACTTTATTTTCCCTTAGGATTAAATTGCTGAGTTGTCACACTCTGCCAAGTTTAAAGGGGGAGACTCACTTCCAGTAGGCCTGGCGTGGTAAAGTTCTGCGTTTCATATGCTTATTAGATTTTCCAGGCATGTGGGACGTCTCCCAGCAGGGGAATTTATCCCACCTCTGCAAAGTATTATATATGTTTAGCAGATTCATATGTAGAAGGGATTGTTGTCAGAGTTCTGTAGCGTGGTTGGAGGGATACCAGCCAAGATTGCATTTGAGGTTTTTGCAAGTCTGGCAGAGATGGACAACTCAAAATACTTTAAGCTCTGGGACACTCACTTTGGGTGTATTTGCCTTATTTTCCATGATGAAGTGATGGGAATGACAGCAGTGACTATGAAAACTGGATTCTCCAGTGTACAGGTTAATGCCATGTTGAATTATTCTGCCCATGGCTGTTGCCTTTGCAGAGGCATAAAAATGTAAACAATTACCAAATAGTTGACCACTGATGAAACATCAGTTATTTCATAAGCACAAGTCTTGCCTTAGTTATGCTGCTATAGGCCTAGGCTGCTGGGGCCCTGCCCCATGGTGCTCTGAGTTTCTCACCTCTCCTCTGTCTCCATCCATCTATATGCCACCATTACACATGACTAACTTTGCATCTTCTCTCTCCCGTAGTGTCTCTCTCTCTCTCTCTCTCTCCCTGTACCTTTCTGCAGGTAGCCCTGGCTCTGGAGCTCTACGTTTCTGATGAGCCACATCAACCTGCCCAGTGTTTGATTGTTTGTTGTGTCTTGTTACTTTTCTTTCTTTTCTCTCCTCTATCCACTCACCACAACCAGTCGAGGCAAAAGGCCGTCCACCAAGAGCTGGGGTCTGTCAGAGGTTTCCTCCGTTAAAGGGAGTTTTTCCTCCCCACTGTCACCACGTGCTTGCTCAAAGGGGGATTTGTTGGGTTTCATAAAAACCGTAAGTGAAATAAATACATAGTGAAAACTTCAGACATGAAACTGAAACGTACAGGTTAATGCCATGTTGAATTATTCTGCGCTGTCACCTCACAGCAAGAAGGCTCTGGGTTTGAGCCCTGGCCCACTTGGTGTCTTTTTGTGTGGGGTTTGCTTGTTCTCCCTTTGCCTACGTGGGTTCTCTCTGGCTGCTCTCTGCTCTGACTTTCTCCCACAGTTGAAAGACATGCAGCTTAGGTTGACTGGCGACTTGCACATAGGAGTGAGTGTGAGTGAGTCTGTGTGTGTGGTTGTTTGGACAGGTTGCCAGCCCTATGAATGACTTATGCCCAATGTCAGCTGGGGTTGGCTCAAGCTCCCTGCAACCCTATTCAGGAATAAACAGTATAAATAATGGATGTATATTTATTGGTAAAAGATGGACAGGGTTAGATGCTGAGGTCAGTGTATCAGGATTCTTCTCTTCAGCATCAAGGACAATGCACTTTGTTTCACTTCAAACTCCTTGTTTCTTTTGCTGATAGAAAGTGACCAAACTCCCTTCAAAAATCCAGGAGGTTAATTTTGCTTTTATGAAAACAAACAAGTCAAACTCCTTCAAAAATCTGGTAGTGTGTTTCTTTGTTAAAAACTAACATGCATCATGAAATTGTCCGGTCATTTCTTGAATGTTAACTCTTGCTGGTAAATTTGCCTCGAGTAGTACTAGATTAAGGTTATTAAATATCTTTAACATCTGCTGCTATCTTGTCATCTGTTTTAAAGCCACACTATCCTTGTATCCATATAACCATCATAGATTAAGATATTTTAATCTTACCTTATGTTTAAAAAAAAACATGCAGGTACCAGTGTGCAGAGCATCTGACAGTAGCCCCAGAAGTCATCCAAGTCTTAATTACATGACTGACTGAGCTTTAAAGTGGCCTTATAAAATGCAGTTTTCAGTCCCCAGGCATTGTAGCTCATGTTATCACAAATTAAAATTATTAAACTGAAAATGATGCAAATAGCTAAAGGCAACAAAGCAATGTGAGAACTTTATTGACCACACATGAAGGAGTCAAAAGAAGAGCAAAACAGCTCCACATAGGCCTATACTGAGAATAGTCTTATAGTGTCCTATAGGCTACCCAGTAGGTCTGTCTGTCATTTTCAGCTGTTCCCGTTAGGGGTCACCACAGCATATTGAACTTTGGAACATGCTTTATGCCAGATGCCCTTCTTAATGCAACTCTGAATCAAACCCAGGCCACAGCAGAGAAAATGCAGAATCCTAGCCACTAGTCCATCAGGGACAGGCTATCCAGTACAAGGATAATTTTATTATTTGTATGCAATGCTAGGAGTGTATAAGATATAAAGATAAACAAACCCTTGTGGGTTTGTTCAAGAAGGCGTTCCTCACTGAAAAACATTTAGTCTGTATCCATGTTGAGGCACTTGTAAAATAAGATTAGTTGAGGAGAGATGTTGGTTGCAGGCTTTATTTTTGAGGTACTCTGTAGCCTACAGTTGCACTGTAATCTGCAGCTACTGGATATAGATTAGAATTTAATAAAATTCATTTTTTGTTTCCTTTTCTCTCTCACTCTTTTGTGTTGTGAGTTAGGTTATAGGTTAAAACTGAAATGTGACTGATTGGGATTTGTATATTATCTAATCTTAAAAAGAAAAACTGAACAGACTTATTTAATATCCCTATCATCATATAAGTGAGAAAGTCTACAGGTCAACAAATTTGTACTATCCTGAGTCATCTCTTTCAGGCCCCACTAGAGGGTGTTGGATATTAGTCATTTCAGGTGCTTCACTGAAATCCTTTGGAGAAGTTTGGATAACAAACATAGGTTGTGCAGCTGTGATATGTTCAGATACTTTCAGGGCAGGTGTGAACAACAGCCCTAAAGAGGGATTTCTGTATGACGGATGGGGGAGTACTGGCATAATGGGCACTATGAGAACCTGTCACATCTTTTATTTGATTTGGGCTGAACTGAAATCATAAAAATCATTCCTCCTCATGTGGGGTTATGGACATGTGGGGTTATATGTGTGGGAGGAGGGGGTTGCTTTCTGAAAACTTGAACCCAGGTCAAACACAGATGTGATTCCTCTGCACACACTGACTGAACTGAGTGAAATTGAAGCTATATACATACAGTACATTTGATCTGCACATCCTCCCCCTCTCTATGTGTCGTCTGTATGATGCCCTAAAACAAATAGGAAACAAAGAAAACCACTACCTCACCCAGAAACTATATCACGACAGCATTTCAGATTGCATGTTATTGATTCCTTAAAAAGAGGCTCCCTCTCCCTGTATCCCGTGACACACAAGCATCCTACTTAATTTACATGCCACCTCTAAGTCTTGCTATGCAGATAGATGCAAAGAAGGTAAACCTAAAGGTGGTAAAACAATTGTTTGATGCAGGATATAGACATTTCAATGGTGTCTATACATTTAGAGGTACATAGTGTGGAAATAAACAATACATACTATCTTTAAATAACCTAAAGTTAAGAGTTAAATATAAACTTACTGCTCCAAAATTTTGAAACAGTTGCAGGTATAAACATTTCTTGTTATAAATGCAGTAAAATCCAATTTTATGTTGTTCAGAAACTCAAGGTGAATATAATAGAGCATTAAACGGTACAAAATAAGTGATCCAAACCATATGCAGGTAGGAGATGAAGGATACATCCATAGCAACAGTCTAGCTGTTTACTGAATGTGCATCTGTTCATTGTTTTATTTTGTGGCTACAGTAAGGAGAGTGCTACAAGGAGGTGCTATCCAGTGCACTGTACATTCTGAGCCTATTGGGAGCATGCTGCTGACTCAGCCCAAGCCACTGCATTCAACTATCTGCACTGCAGTGCTGTCTCAGCGTACCCTCCCCAACCCTCATTCAGTGCGCTGTACTGACACACACACATACACACAGAGGAGGGGGACGAAAGGAAAGAAACACACATACCTGCTTTTAAAGTCATCTCAATGCTGTCGCACCATGACACACCCAAACACAAAACGGGTACAGTAAAAACAATGTAACTTAGGTATTTCTTAAGTGTACTGTGTTGCTCTACAGTATATAGTCTTTGTAAATGGTCTTATATAGCAGTCTTCTTCACAGTGAAGCACATTCACAGTGCTCACAGATATTCATACAAGCACAAGCCCCTTACACGCTGCCTTTTCAAGGCAGGATTGGCGATCCTTTATTACATCTCGTTTTTCTGTGTAAGGTGCAAAGCTGGAATGGCGGGCCATTTTTGTTGCGCCTATGGTCCGCCTTGTGAGGTAATACCAGAGGCAAAATAAAGGGGAGACACACTCGGTTTAGCAAGGACGAGCTGCAGTCTGGAGCCAGGTGCTACATTTTGATGACAGGTGGACTGGAGAAGCTGGGGGTCAAACCGTTGCAACTACAGTTAGGGGTTCTACTTCCTAAGACACAGCTGCCCATGTCACATACAGATCAGCACTGAAAAATGTTTATCTCTTCTACTGTGACAAATGTAAACAGTGACTATTGTCAGACACAATGGATCATATTTTCTTTGGTAAAATTACATTTATTTTATATCCAAAAATGACACCAGCCAGAGGGGTGTAACTGGAACACTGCTTTATTGTTTGGAAATATATTCGTGCTCAAATGAAGACATTCTTCGGACATCACTGATTCTCATGTATTTGTCCCATGTGGTTGTGCAACACATATCCTCTCTCTCACTGTATTAGTGGCAAGATATGACAGTCAAAAGGCTTGTTTTTCCAGTTAGCCTGTTTTCAGCAAAAAATAAATAAATAAAAATAATCGGTCATGCTACAAATGGCCTCCTAGATGGCTTGTTAAACCAACATTTGGAAATGAACAGAAGTGTAAAATCAAAAAGGCAAGCTGTTCTCTTACTAGCCCACGAACCAGTAAACAGAACACAGAGAGAGCACTTGTACTACACGACTACAAGATGTTAGTTCAGACAATCTAATCTATGTAGTGAGTTTTCATCTTACAGGTTAATTTTGAAGTCAGTACATTGTTTCTACCGTGCTCCATTTCGATTCACTCCCATGAGGTTTGAAATCCTCATTGCTGATTTTATTGACAGACTAAATAGGAAGCTAAAAGGCACGTGCCATTAAGAGATACTGCACCATAACCAAACACAGACAGTTAAGACAGCTAACCCTTAAACCATTAGATATAGCAAAATTAAAGATCCACTCCAAATGGCAGCAGTGTGTTAAGGGGGAACATGGAGCAGGGGTTAGAGCTGAAATGAGAAACGAGCAAAAAATCTGTTACACAAAGGGAGCTGTGGCTCATACTGGGGTACACTGGTGAACCAGCCGTTGCCTGCAAAGGGCTGAATGTGTGTACGTCTGTCTGCATCTGTATACCTTTATGTGCACAATATAGGAAACTAGGGGCAAGACATCTTCGCACATGTACAAAAGGGTATGCTGGTAGTGCAATCCTCTCACCAAGGCAGGCTCCACAAGTCTCAGCAAGCAGCCAGTACAACACCATGCATTGTATGCTGGTGCCCAGTATGCAGAGGTGCTGGGCAGGCCAGAGGTTTGGTTATTCTCTGAACATACAACACAAAGAAAGAAGCATGGTCAGTTACTCTCAGTGGTTCTGGTTTTACTTCAGTGCAAGACGTGGACAGGAGAGCCGAGTTACAGACACTGCTCTAATGTATATATACTATATATATATGAAAGAATATATATATATATAATATATATGTAATATAGCTCTGTATAAGTACATAGTGATTTATACATGTTTTCTTTTTAATATAGATTCTTTTTGCTTACTTACCTCTTTTTTGTGAAAAGTGACTCAAACAAATTTACTCTATCTAACACATGTCACAACCTAACAAGTGTGACAAGGGGTGTCAGCTGGAAGCCATTCTATTTCTGGTTATTAATAATTAGTTAGATTAATAGCTGTAGTTTAAATAATCCTGTATTTACAAAAAAACTACACATGCCGTTCAAATAATACATTATTTATAGCTTCTTAAAAAGTTCATTCTTAGCTTTTGCAGTTTGTGCCGTGTAGAATATAGCCTGAACTATATGTAGTTCATCCCCCCCCTCCCCAAAATGGATGAATGTGTCTATTTTTTAGATTTCCTTCTGTATACCCATGGTGATCTTGGAGAAAATGGATGGCAGTAGCTTTTATGCTTATCATTCAGAGTTTTATTTGGTTCAAGTTAACACCCACACTGATTTTGGAGATCTCATGCAGTAACTGGACTGTAGAACTCGAGAACAAATGAGGGAGCTATTTATAAGCAGGAAGTGACAACTGCATAACAGGAAGTGTAAAAGCACTGCCGTAGAGCCTGGTGCTCACAGTACCACAAGAATGCACCCAGTGCTCTATTGGTCATTTGCTATGCAGCAGAGCAATATGAAGAAAAGGACAAATGAGAGGCTCGGAGCACTTGTTAATTTCTGAAATCTGGGGCCTATCAACTAGGCATGCCACTTCTGCTTAAACCAACACATCCCAATTTGCTCGTGACATCTCCTTACAGTGTTTCCTGTATCTGCAGTTGCTTTTGGGGTGAACATTTATTCTATTGTTTTTACTGTAATGAGACCAGACTGCAGTCCATATTGACTTAATCACAGATGTAATCTGTTATCAATATAAATGCCACCATTACATGTGAGCAAAATGTTGCTGTTTCACTGAGATGCATCTAGCCCTATAATTCTAAGTGTCATAAGCAGGAAGCACTGAACCTGGCCCCTGACTGGGTGGCTGCCAGGATGAGGCAGTCAACCCAAGATCATTGTCCATCAACATGGCATAAAACACAAAACAGACAAACATGATTTCATAAACGCTCCCATCACATTCACTTGCATTTTGTTGCAGAGCTCATAGTAGTACATGTATATTATATCCTGAGAAAAAGGGATGAATTTTTCAAGCATTGCATACATTTCTAGGGTCTCTCTGTCTGGTAATGACAGTGAAAAAACAGAATGGGCAGGGCATATTTCACCCAATCCCACTCCATGGACAAAGGGCAATAAGGGGTAACAAGGCAGATCTCTTTGGCTTCTCTACACACGTTTCCATCACCCCTTCACAATTTTCACTTTCTTGTTAGGATACTAACAGCCGACAAATATGTTCCAGCACGAGACTGCTTCCCTCGACGTCATCTTAGATGTGACTTATAAAAGTGTAACATAAGACTCATTATCCACAAAACATGACAATTACACCAGAGTAAATAAACATAACAACCCCCCCTCCCCACACACACACACACACACATATATATATAAATAAGTTACATGAGATCAAATTATGTAAATAGAACAGTAATAAAAACTTCTTCCCGGTCCTTTCAGAAATGTCTAACCACCAACAGAGAATCATCAGAAAAAGAAGTTCACCATACAGTACCTGTCAAATCCCCACAGATCACTTATCACTTGTATAGGATCCCAAAATGCCCAGTCACACAACTAAAAGCAGATGGCATGGAACATTACATAGGTGCATACAAATTATAAATATAAGCTTTTTAGTTTCATAGTGTTCCACTCTTCAGTCCAAATTAAACATTTCAGGCCCATGATACACACAAACATTTGCTCCCAGATTTTACACATTCAAAATCTCCAGAGCACCTAATAACTGCTTGAATTTCACCCACTGACTCCCTATGGTGGCGTTATTTACCAACATCCATTCTTCTGTCTAGGGAGGCAGCAATTTAAACATAGCCATTTAAAATGCATTGAGTAATGAGATAAAAATTTGGATCCATTGAGATCATCAGCCTTGTATCACTTATCTTTGTAAAACAAATTACTCTGAACTTTCAAATTTTGACAATGTCTCGATCTTACAGCCGAGACACTGTTATGGTCTAAGTATTAGTGTCTTGTGGACTATGATAATTCATGCAGATTTCTGATCAAAACATGCCATCATGCAAGTCATTTCTATGCATTGAACAAGCACAATTATTTATGTTCTGAGTAAATGTAAGCCCTTGGCCCGAGTTGACCCCAATAAACAGACCCTTAATCAACTGGTGTGAAAGCCCATGTTAAAAAAAAAAAAGCATTCTGATGTGGGTATAACAAAGATAAAATGAGTAGAAGAGTTTAAGTGACATGGGCAAAATATTCAGTATTGTTCTTTCTTATTTGTTTGCATTTTTGCTGCTCAAATTAACAGTTTCTAGCTTTAATAAAAGAAAAAAGTACTTCCACCAAGCGCTGTCATTTTCCATCTCTTTGCTTTTAGAGTGTGTGTGCCATTTTCTCCTCTAGACATTTCAGTGGTAAATGACGCAGACCCACTCATTGGCTGCTTTGAGAGGACAATTCTTCAGCATCAAGAAGCATCCTTGTTTTACTACACAACACTGTCTTCCATAGGAATCCATTACTTGCTCCCAGGCGCTGGACTCCTTTAGCGGTTACTCATTCTACCTCTTTGAGTTACTTGCCTTATCTGTAGACCAGTGGTAAGTAAGCAATAGACATTTCCATGTCTGTTTTGCATTCAGTAGTCTAGATACAATGTCACACAGTATGCTGATTATGTTAAGTTTGACTGAAGTCCAGGAGTCTTCAAGCTGCTTCCCTCTGCATCAATATAAGAATGAAGTCTGTAAACAAAATTTGGGAATACCATTTTTTTTTCTGACTTGCAAATAAAATAATCTGTACCATCTGTGGGTGAGTTTCTTCTCGCTTTGCCTGAAGTTACATTATTATGATTTTTATTGTTATTACTGTGATTATTAATCCGACACTTTAACATTTTGATTCCCTGATGTCTTTTTGGTTTCTTCCTTTCTCTTTTCTCTCTCCCTTGCCCTCATTGTTGTCATCCTGCTTCTCCTTGTCAGGTTTGGTTACACTGTCATAAGAGGGCAGGGAGGCAGTTGAGGGAGTGCCCTCCTTTTCTTGTTCCTGATTGTTCCCGCCATTCTCCACTTTGTTATTGGTTGGTTTGCGCTTACAGACAAAACCCCGCCTAGCCAGGTAGAAGCGGTAGGCCCTTTGAATGATTCTAGCTGACACATCCTCCTGCTTGCGCCTCAGAGTGGTGGTTATTGGTTCATAAGAGACCTTGGAGGGATTGGCTGCCACAAAACGCTCCTCCATTTGTTGCCTCAGCATGTCCAACTCACCGCTGTCACCCAGCACACGCTTGGTGAAGGCAAACAGAATATCCAGGCAGTGGATGCGGTCGCCACTCACCATAGGCATGTCCATGGCGATCAGTTCGATGGTGTTGGGCTTGGGGACTCGGAGTGGGTGTTCAAGCGCATCAGCAAAGTCAGAAAGCTTGGCATAGGCAATGAACTGAGAGGCATCAGGGTCAAACTTCTCCCAAATCTCATAAAAGGTCTCAAAGTCATCCTCACTGAGTGGGTCAGCACTCTCCTCTGTGGCCACACTGAAGTTCTCCAGAATGATGGCAATGTACATGTTGACCACAATTAGAAAAGAAATGATGATGTACATAACAAAGAAGAAAATGCCCACAGAAGGGTTGCCACAGTCTCCTGTGACCGGGGTGCCAGGATTCTCCCATAAGGGGTCGCAGTCTGGAGGATAGTTAAGAATGGGCAGCAGCAGGCCATCCCAGCCAGCTGATGTGGTGATCATAAACAGGATGATCATGCTGTTGCCGAATGTCTCAAAGTTGTACAGGTCATCAATTCCAGCCCCATGTTTCACATAGCCAAAGTTGGACATGCCGAAGATGGAGAAAATGAACATAACCAGAAAAAGTAGAAGGCCAATGTTGAACAAAGCAGGAAGGGACATCATAAGGGCAAAGAGCAGAGTTCGGATTCCCTTGGCACCTTTGATGAGACGCAGGATTCTGCCGATACGAGCCAGACGAATCACCCTGAAGAGTGTTGGTGACACAAAGTACTTCTCAATTATGTCAGCCAGAAACATTCCTAAAGTAAAAATGGAGCAAAAAGACAGAACGTGTTTAGTTAACATATAGGGGATATTATTACTCACTGACTATAGAGTGCCATAGGAATGATGTTTTGTAGGCCAACCTGGAAGTTGGCATCACCCTGGTTCCTTCGACAAAAAGCCAACAGGATTTTTCCATAGGCTTTTGGATTATTGCAGAAAATAAGATCTATGACATGTTTTGTTCAGCAAGATAATCTTCATAAGTGAACACAACCTTTATTATTTTTGAAGCCCAAATACATTCATCAGAAGTAAAAAGCTATTGTTAGGCTATAAACAAACTACACAATGGTCCTATGAATTCAACATCACCACCACAGCTTCCAACTTGTAATCTGATTTACAGTATAGTGCTTACCTCTTCTACAAAATCCTTCCCTCTTATCATGACCCGATCTAGCTAGTGATCATTGCTGTGTCAGAATAAGTTTGCAAGCGCATGAATTTAAATACAACAATGCTGCAAAAGCAAGCTAGTGAGTAGATGAGTCTCTGTGTTCAGTGTGATGACATGTAAATCCCTCACAGTCTCTGCAGTCTCATTTAGCCACCTGTTAGCAACCGCCTTTTTAAAGACAAAAAAAAATATATCATAGACCAAAACGTGAAAATCTTGTGTTAACCACAGACCTTATTCCAGGGATCTAACCAAAACCCATTCAAAAAACCCACTGACTTCGGGGCCACGGAACCAGAAGTGCAAAAACGCTACCTCAGTTCAGGGTTTTAGGACTCACTACTATGGCACTCTTTAAAACACATTACAGTATTATGCCTGTAAGTACAGAAAGCACAAAGGTTCCAGTTAAATGTATAAATATTCCTGAAAGATCATACAACACTAAGTATACTTTTATTCCCTATAAATTGATTGGAGGTAAAGCAAAGTAAATTCTTTTTTTTTTAATACAATATAATTATTAAACCAGCAGTATTACTTTTTAATGTATTTAGTTATTTTTTTTGCTTGTCTGAAACCTTTCACTGCTTGTTTGGTTTCCTCAATTACTACAATCTATAGACTTCACTGTGAACAGTTTTCATTTCAACTACAAAACTACTAAAATTTACACTTCATCCTTCACAAGGGCTTTTTTTTTTGTCTTTTTATTTTTACTTTTATCTGTTGACATTGTTACATTCTGACTTGTTTAATAATCTCTTATCCTGCCAGATCTCTGTGGATAATGAGGTTTTCCTAAAATAATTGTTGTGAGCACCACAGCTGAAATTCCATTTGCCTCCACTGTATCTGGGTAACACAGGAATTCAGAGAGAGATATCTCAAAACCAAAATAAATCACAAGGCTTTATACCACTGGAGGAAAATGACAAATAACTTATTTTTGGCTCTTTAAACATCTGGGTGTGCTGCGCCATCCACAAGAGACCAAAGAGATCAAAGATTTTTATTGTCAATTCACTATATGTGCAGGACATACAGAAAATAGAAATAGCATTTCTTTCTCACAACCATTTATATGAGGAAGCTGTCAGCAGGTTCTAGTCAAGCTGCTTCACATTTCGTTACCCATGCATGAATAACCCCTCTGAATACTTGCCTACAATTGAGAGGATGACCACAACCACATCGAAGATGTTCCAGCCGTTGGTGAAATAGTAGTGACGCAGTGCAAAGAGTTTCAGTAAAAATTCACCAGTGAAGACCACAATGAAGACGAGGTTGACCCAGTAAAGTATATTCTCTGTATCCTTGGACTGATTATCTGTCTCCACCATCATGGTGACCATGTTGAGGCAGATGAGCATCATGATAGAGATGTCAAACACCTGCTGCGTCACAAAGTCAAACACCATGCCCTGGATTTTGTTCTGAGGAGAAAGGCGGGAAATAAAGGAAGGGATGTTTGGTCTTTTTCCCCCTTTTCCATCTTTAGAAATCTACAATTACAAACCTGCTTGGTAATAAAAATGAAGAGAACAAAACAGGATTTACCTGAGGCCTGGGTATTGGTTTTTGTGGTTTTTTTGACCCTAGTTTCTTCATGGCATTGTAGTATTTCTTCTGCTCTTCTGTCATGAAGATATCCTGACCTCCAAAGTAAAGTGACAAAAACAATTTGGTTACAATCTGCCACAATTTATAACTCTCATAATACAAATATAGGTTAACATAAGGGCTCAAATGACTGTGTATTGACAGGTGCAATACAAACCGTGTCTCATATTTGTTTACAGTGTTTAGATTCTCCGTTTAAAAGAATCACCTGACATTTTGTGCTGAATCTCAGCCACTCATTCCACTCTCATGAGTGCTACCACCAGCAGATAGGTAGCTTAGTTCAGAAAAACACTCCTTCCAGCTCATTTAAAACTCAATCCCCTGGTTTCTTTACGCTAAGCTAAACTAATAGACTGCTGGCTGTAAACCTCATGATTAATAGACAGGGTGAGAGCGGTATCAATCTTTTCATCAAACTAACATCTAGAAAGTGAATAAATGAAAATTTCCAAAATCTTTACCTCATCTACAAAGCAGTGTGTTCTGAGAAGGTGAGAGGTGAGGAAAATAAATCTTATCTTTTTCTTTTGTTGGTTGAAGTTGTCAATGATGACACCAATGAAGAGGTTTAGGGTGAAGAACGAGCCAAAGATGATAAAGATGACAAAGTAGATATACATGTAAAGGTTGTCCTCGTATATGGGCTGTTGGCCCACCTGTGAAGTAGCAAAAGTGAAAAAATATACACAAAACCCTACTGCAAATTAATCTGAAAAGTTACTTTAAACTTGAACAAAACCCTACTGCAAATTAATCTGAAGTTACTTTAAATTTGAAAAAAGCTTACCTTTCGAGAATCTATTGCTGCATACATAATGTCCATCCAGCCTTTGAATGTTGCCTGTTAAGTGAGCAGACACATTGTGTGAGAAAACAGGTTAAATGACTGAAGAGAATAAAAAATTATAAGTGACAGTAAAAGTTTCTCACCACTTGCAGGAGTGCCAGGTATCCTGCGCCCACATTGTCAAAATTAATCTTGACATTTTTCCATCTGACTTCAGAGTAGTTTGCATTAATTAATGCTAAACACTCTGTTTCGTTGTTGACTACGTTGGGAAGAAAGTATTCCTCCGCCGTCTCATTGTAACAATAGTGATATTTTCCAGCAAACAGGTTGACACCCATGATGCTGAAGATGAGCCAAAAGATGAGACACACCAGTAGCACGTTCATGATGGAGGGAATTGCACCCACCAAGGCATTGACCACAACCTGAAGAGAACAATAGGGAAACAGAAACGCTCACTTAGCAATCACACGCCAGCTGCATGAAGATGTTCACACATAAGACCATCAGTACACACATAGACAGAAATGCACATTCTTTCCCTCCAAACTCTAATAGTGTCCATCGCAACAAAGTACAAGGGGGTGTAACAATACTTGATATTCATTGTGGATTTCTGGAGTAGGACCAAAACATATTTTAAGATACAAGGTTGTTGACATGTTCAAAGAGTAGAGACAGTTCTGACAACATGAATGACATTTGATTAAACCCAAACCGAGCCCAACGGGACCAATCGGTACCTGAGGTTTCGGACAGAAATTTAGGAATTATGTTCGGGTCCGGGTCGAGTTCAGAACATTAGACTACATGGCTGGAGCACTCAGATGATTGTTTTGCTTAATGAAATAGGGGAAAACCTGGTACAAACTCAATTGCGTCAGACTCGGTTCGGGTTTGGTTCAGACATAAGATACTATAAGCTTGTTGATTTTGGCTCAGGCACAGACACCATACTCGCAGGCACAGGTCGGGTTCAAACAGAAATATGTGGCCCAATTCAAGCTCTACTCTGACATTCGGTTCTAACCGATTACATTACAATCCATTTTTGTATCACATTTTTGTATTTTCTATGCAATGTATTGTGCCACGATATATTGTTACACCCCTATAAAATGCAATTATTCTTTAGTGAGACATCCAAATATTGTAACTAGGCATGAATGGATATGTGAATTGTACACCATCATATATACAGTACAGTACAGTACATGTTCACCCAAGTCAACAACTAATGACTCTGTAGCAATAAGTTAGATTTGCCAAGTTAAAATGACAACTTAGGAACTTGATGGCAAATGAGTTTTTATTTAGGCCTACCATAAAGAAAGCAACTATTGCTTAGTATCCCCAAAGATGTACTGTGTAGGCTGCTACTACTACAGGGTTGCACTGTACAGGGCTATGATTATTGCATGTGACTATACAACTATACTGCACTTAAGCAGTGGGGGCATGTTGGAGGAGAGAAGGCTTAGTTTAAGGAGGGCAACGTGAATGTGCATTTCAAAACACACAGGTGCCATGATAACAGAAAGCCAAATAATCCACAACTATACATGCAAACATCAAATTCTAGTGTTCTAATAATATAATATACTGACAATGCATCCATATAATCAGTTTATATAACTACTGCAATTATGACAATTATATGATGAAATTCACTGAGGAGTGGTGAGCGAGGATGGTGGGGGAGGGGGTATGCAACCAGAAGTTTGTTGATCTTCCAGTGTGACAATGCCAAAGCCAAACTGTGATAAGATCAGATAACAGGACACTTGAGGAAGAGCAGCAGTCAGAAGATGCTGTGTCTGGACATTGCCAAGATTTATTTTTCTACCCAGCAACAACCAGAGGCTGATCTAACTCATCACACATTAAAGCAATGATCAGTAGAACTCCATTATCATTGTAAAAGAAAAGTTTGAGGCTTTCTCAGGCAAAACTCAGTACAGAGCCCACCAGTGGTCACATGGCATTAGAACTGCAGACACAGCTGTGCACCATATCCCTTTTTTTGCCATATCGTATAACAACTGGGGGCTCTGCGGCTCAGAATGTTTTTTTTCACAGGTATCTGTTTGATTGTTCAGACTGCACAACTTCAGTCTACATTAACCCTGTTGTGTCATTCAGTTTGAACAGGTTTTGTGTGATGTTCATACCAACCTCAAGTTCAGCTGGTACCGAATATATCCGAGCTGAGTCATAATTATGTAGTGTTGCATCACTCACGTCAAACTCCCCGTTATGGTCTAGTCTTTCATAAGGTATGGACTAGATTTCTATGTTGTTGTGTTATTATTTTTAATGGATAACTCACTGCAAATTGTCTTCAAATAGCACTAAATTTTGAATATATGAAATGAAATATGATAAATCAAATCAGATGTATTAACGACCATCTGAGATGATCTGCATCCATGCAAAATGCTTCTCATTAATAAAAGCGGTAACCTAAAAATTTCCCCGTAAAGTCATTTAAAAAAAAGTTCTAAATTGCCATCTCTAGCATGCGTTGATGCTTTTACTTAAACCACATGCAGAAGGACCAGCTGCCTGGTATCTTAGGTCTTACCCTCATCCCTTCAAAACGTGACAGGGCCCTGAGGGGTCTCAAGGCCCTCAGTGTCCTGAGTGATTTAATCGGGCCTAGATCGGAGAAGCCCAAAGCATTAGCTATAAGGCTGACTATAGACACCTACACAGATAGGGAAAGGAAGAGAGAGGAAGACAGAAGCAAAGGAAGAGAGGATCCACATAGTTAGAGGGGATATAGAGAGAAAGATAGAGCCTATATATACTGTAAGGATAGCTGAATGGTGGTTATATACATATAAGTACATATATAGTTTAGATATGTATAAGTTTCTTTGGAACATAAGTTATTACAATAGACAAAGGCCAATAAAGTGTGCATGACCCAAGTTTTCTTTTTCTTGTGTTTGTTTTCTTATGTTTGTGTTTGGTTTAGTTTGGCAAGCCAGTCTAGCCTGATAACCAGCTTAACAGCACAGTGAGCACACCTGGAAAGAAACTTGTGGTTGACACAGTGAGAGGAAGAGAAGATAAAGAGTCAAACAAAGGGAAAAAATTAGAGGAGAGATGTATTCACAGACACTAAATCAATGTGACACAATAATATACACACAGTCCACGGTACAAAACAGTACAGTTTCCACACCAGAGCATTGTACTTAAAGGGGGAGAGAAAATGCAGAAGATTGAGGACAACTTTCAGGGTTAGAAGAGAGGATAACCTGTGAAAGTACAAGTCCCAAACCTTACCCTGGACCCTCAAACACCGACCCCTCAGTTCCTCTCGACAGCTGCACAATGTCTCTCTTAACCTAAAAAGAGAGACATTTATCGGTACCTGCTGTGAGAGAGAGGACAGGTCAACATTAGGGTAGATAATTGCATGGGAGGTCAGGATTAGTTATCTTTATAAGACATGGGCCACTTTGGAATATACAGAGATTTCAATACAGTATATTGAAGGTTTTCTATTGGAGGAGGAGGCATTTGACCAGCACTGGATCCCAGCGCATAACATGCAGAAACTGACTTTCATACTCTGAGTTATAAATTAGGTGTGTGTGTGTGTGAATGAATAAATGAAGTGCTACATTTAATAATGGCAACACAGTTGCCAGGAGGTGGCATCCAGTCTCCCATCTGTGCTTGTCAGGTTTAGCTATTAAACCAGACCGTGATCTTTCTCTAATCTTAACCAAACAGAACCATAAGAAGTTTAATACTGCTGTAGCCACTGTAAGTGGCTATTGTACTGTACTATTTTAATTTTAGGAGCAATCAAATACATTCTGTGAAGTTTTTACTGATACATTTCTTCATTATGTCAGTAAAAACAATCAAGTCATAGCTAGATTTGCTACAATGTATTTGTTGCAAATTATTAATTTTTAGGAGATAGGGCTGCTGTTGTGCAGTCTCAACAGCTACACATTATAATACTCACAAAAGTGGCATGAATATATAGAAGGGTTCTGCATCGAATTGCATTGTATTTGTCATCCAGCTGTTCTGACCAAACTATACAATGCATATTTTAGCAGGGATTCATCAAATTAATCCGTGGGTCTGTAGTAACAGTGGACACCTTCAGCTTCTAGCAGGCATAGTATGGATCTAACATGCTAACTCTCTAGAATCTGGTTCATTATGCAAGGTCGGGCCAATGTACTGAAAAAACAGCAACTGATGACACAGTGACAAACAGTTGCATAGTATGGCATTTTCACCGTGCATGATCATTTGGTTGGTTCCTCTTGACACCTTCTACTGGTCAGTTGCCCTGAACATTGGCATCTATGGGTATTCACAGGAAACATCCTCAGGATTTTTGCTGAATCCCTGACCTTTTGTGGGGCAACCCCATAAGGTGAATATGTACCCTTTTGGCCATGAAAGATAAAGATATCTGGGAAATTAGTGACCAGATTTTAGGCAGGTTTGGCCTAGAAATTAAGTTAAGGTCCCCTTATGATGAATCCAGCCTGACCATTCTTCTAATGCTTCTAGCAAGCCAAATTTATCACTTGTTATATAAATATTATGAAAAAAAAACTGTATTGTTCATACCCAAGTCATGCTCAACTAAGGCAGAAACTCCACAGATGGTATGACGTGAATAATGTACATTCTTCTTAATTAGAATTATAAAATAATTAGAATAAAAAATAGGCTATTATCAATGATTGAGAAATTTAAAAATGTTATGAGACAAACTATTCAAAATAATATTGTGATGTCTCCTTTATGTACAAAAGAGCTATATGCATCTAGATAAATCAGTTACACTGCTTTATTAATTGTATTATGTACTGTATTACTCAGCTCATGAAGGTGTATTTTGTCATCTGACTAACAGTAATAGTGTATGGTTGTTCCTAGGGATTTGTTTATAATTTAGAAATTAAATAAAATCAACAAAGCTCCTAAGCTTGATTGATACCTGATGCGGACAGACATAAAGAGAAGTTCAGAACACCAACAGTAACACAATATACATTAGTGAAACTTTAACATGTGACATGATGAGTCATTTTTACATGGCAGGAATGTTAAATGAATGATAGACAGACTGGCTCCTCACAGTCAAGGATGGCAGAAGACTGGTGGTCAAAGGATGATGGACGACTTACCAATTAATACACAAGCCAACATACAACACATATGAGAAGAATATGGAAGACGACTGGGACCACTGATAAAAATTGATATTCTGAGAAACCATATATGGGAAAAAAAAAACAACCCTTTTTTTTAGGTTAACCGCAATACACGATAGTGAATATTACTTGGTCACATGCAACTGCTATTAATCCTGGTATAATTACATAATCTGGAATCATTTGAGTCAAAAAAATGGCAAACACATAAGACAGTGGACTATGATGTCCCAAGACTTTTCTCAGAATTTTCATAATTTATTACATGGCCCCTGCAGCGTATGACAGTGCTACAACATATAAATACACCAAAATGACAACTTTAATTTCCTGAAAAAGAGTCACTATCTGGAAGGCAGTAAATAATTTAGTTCTCATTTTGCAACAGTAAGTGGGTGGGAACATAAAATCCTGCCCTATGTCTACAAAGCAAAACTGCTTTTCTCATCTTCACTGAAGTCCTGCTAGCTTAGGTTAACATTGATCTTGTACATTGTTCTGGTCTGCCGTGGTAAAGGACGTCCCAAAGCTCGTATTTCTGCTCTGAGAACCAAGGAGGGAGGAGGCAGCCTGGAGGAGCTTTAACTGAGGATATACAAGAGTATCCTTCTTGGGCTGACATGCCCCTTTATTGGAAATCAGTTTGTGATCGGACGCTTCACACAAACGATCAGAGGAAATGACATCTCATGTCAGTTACTCTCATTCTTCTCTCCTTGCATCTTTTCTTTGCATCTTACTTGTGCAGGAATAAGTAGGAAATAAAAGATGTTAGTGAGGTAAACATGGATGCAGTTAGTGGAATTGGGATTCACCATTTCACCATATAATGCATAACCTGACCCTATGCATCTACCTCTGATTACTCCCAAGCCTTGGGATCTGAGGTTTAAGATCAAGATCAAGATCAAAGATTTTTATTGTCAATTCACAATATGTGCCTGACATACAGAAAATCGAAATACCATTTCTCTCTCACCTAGTATTGAATGCCATACCATTTAAGAAACTAAAATAGAATAAAAATAGAATAAGAAAACTAAATTAAAGTAATTAGGATAAAACTAAAGGTAACTAAATCACTGACAGTAGTGCAAATAATAACCAGAAGATTGTCAGATGGTTGTATAGGTTGTCTAATGTCTCACTTGTTTCAACAGGAAATTGCAGCACATTAACGGTACAGCCAGACAGAGTATGGCAAAGCTGTCAAGACACCACAGCTCCATGCTGTCAGTCCAAATACAGCCACTGGAATAGTAAGCTCTGACCTGCATTATACATATGTCCACTTGTTACAGTTTACTCCTCAAATGATACACAACAGTACAGAAGCTACTTCTGTACTGATGACCCAGAGCACAATAATAATCTGTATTTAATGAATGCCACTGCTTACCATACCATGATTCTTTACCTCTTCCAGGTCACAGCTAATCTAGTCGAACTTAGTTGGAGATAGTGTGCCAATCTCTCGCTGCCATGTTTTCTGTTGTGCTTCATACATCTGATTACAAAAACGAGCTTTCCATGCTAAGCTTGGCTGTATTTTAAGGAAATACCATTTCATGGAGCCTTTAAGCATACCATGCAATGTACATTTTCCTTTTATAAAACACAGACACAGGAAAATAAAATTCTAGTGAGAAATGTATCACTTACAAATGACATAAAAGGGAAAACCATACGTGACCAACAGTAACTGTTAGGTGGGAAAACACTGAATGGCTTAGCCCAGAGGTAGACAAGTGCTCTCAAACACAGGAAGGGTTCATATATATTTACTGTGTCAGTGCTGCTGTTGTGCTGCTGTCTGGGGCCCAAAAGTTCAAGTAGCACCCTGGTAGCTGTAGGCTGTGACAATGACACAGAGCATTCTGAGGAAAACATAGGCCTTTACTAGAAATATCACATTATATGTCCACTTTTACTGTCTAGCTATCTGTGAACACTGGTGTTTCTACGCTATAATGACTCAATACCAAAGCCAAACACCACATTTTCAACAGTAACATTAGAAGTTGTAGGATTTTGCTCATTGTGGATGAGGTCCATGAAGGACTGCAGCAAAGCCTGGATATCACATGGGAAATCATTTTATCTCAAGATGTCAGTCATTAATATTTTGTTAAAGATAGATTATTGTTAAAGCCTAATGTTTAGTTAAGTACAGTAGGTTTAGTTCATGAAATACACCATGTTTCGGAGACAATGGCACATCCACTTCTGTAGCATAAAGATATAAGCTCAATTTCCACCAGAAAGTCCCTAGTACTTTCTGTTCCCAGGAACTAAAACTCAGCTACTGCCCCTGGTGGAAAAGACCCTCGAGCACGCTGTGATGTAGTATTTCCACAGCAGGGAAGATTCAACAAATTAGCCTCCTGCTGTAAAAGCATGACAGTCGGCAGCGGGGTTATAAGAATGGTAAATGCTCGCTATGGTTAACACATACCAGTGGCGGAGGACAGACTGCATGCAAAATTGAAATAATTGTTTTTTGCATGTTTAACAGGTGTAATTTTATTTATTTTATTTTTACTCACTGGGGTTTTATTACATGTACACTAATAAGCATGGGACTGTTAACTCCACGTAATGTTTCACTCAAACCAATGTCATGCTCTCTTCCACGGCCTCTGCCTGCCGTGCTCTGTGGGTGGAGGAGCTGAGCTCCGCCCTCAAGTCAAACACCAGGAGAAGCAGCTCCACAAACACCAAAGCCACATTTTCCAATCTACTTATCTCAGTCACTGGTCTCCACATGTAGGCCTACTGAGAAAATGCTCCTTATAAATCGAGAACCCAAGGAACTAGGAGCTAGTTGCATCAGTGCACCCAAATAATTTTTCACATTGGCGCACACTGATTTTTACTCACACACACAGACACCGTAGAGCCCTGTATTTAACCAATCAGTGACGTTCAGTGCTGCAGGTCTCGTTCCACTAGTTCCTGGACCTTCAGAAAACACTACCCCCGACTAGGAAATTTTTTTCAGGGGTAGAACTACGCCCCAGAACTTTTAGACCCTTTATCCTCCGGTGGAAGTGCAGGTAGAGGAACTACATTCCGAAAAAAAGGTTCCTGCTCCCCGGGCAAAAGTTTCTCTGGTGAAAACAGGGCTGTAGATGACAAGTCATCCTGTTTTTCTCCAATTGACTGTTTGCTCTGAAGAGTCAGGCGAATACTCTAAGCATCACTCAAAATGTAAAGACCAGTTCTGTGACAAAAGGTTATTATCAACAATGTTTTATATTATGCATTCTTTAAAGAATACTGCCATCATCTAAAGACAGTTCAGTGTGAGTAATTGGAACCTGAAGGGATATCTGTGTGAGCCAATAGATAACCTTTCTAATCTGAACTATGTGCAGGGCCAAAATTATTGTTCGTGTCTCAGTCTCTCTCGACAAGGAACAAATCTAGCAATGAGCAATACTGGTATGCATTTTCATCTGTCAACCTTGTGCAGGTTTTGGTGAGATGCACTGGAAAAATGGAACCTTTTACTTTTTGGTGTTTGTTTTTCTTTCACAATAAAAAGAAGATTTTTAAAATTGTTCATTTGTTTCATTTTAGTGCTACAGTGATGTTGCACTCTTAAATTATATGAGATGTTGAGCCAAATATAAATCACACTGTTGCACTGTTAGTAAGGTATAAAACAAAATAGTATGCAAATGTACTTACATCCACAATAAAGAAGTCTAACCAACACCAGGCGTTAGTGAAGTACTTGACAAAACCATAGGCCACCCATTTCAGCAACATCTCCAGGATGAAGATATAGGTGAAAACCCGGTCAGCGTACTCCAGAATGATGCGGATTACCTTCCTCTGCTCAATGTACACATCCTCAAAGGCCTACGGAGCAGCAGAGAGCGTCACACAGGCAATGGCTTCACTGATTTCTTTCTGCATTCAACACTGATACATTATACATGTTGATATTGCAAATGGGTAAACTATGAGGTAAGCCATACCTTACAAAACCTATACCTACCTATTATTACCTTTATCATATGTGCACTGTGCACCTCATAATAAGAATTAAAGGTAGGAGCATCAGAATGGTATTTATGAGTGTATACAATAATGGAAACCAAAACTGGCCAAAAATTGTGTTTGAATATTGGTTCTAAAAAAAACCTAAACTTGACTATTCAAATATCTGTTTTTGCACATTATGTCCAGGCAAACCAATACAATGAGAACTACTACTACAAAAACTTGTTTATGTTGAAATAAATGTACATGTCTTAAAAGATCTAACACACCTACGCAACACAAAATAAACAAATAAAATAATAACTGTATGTTGCGACATATACTGTAGAACAAGCACTCAACACTCAGCAAGCTCTACTGTGATAAACATGGAACAACAACCATCTTTTCCTTGACATGAAATGAGAGTTAATCAAAACACTATGGCTGGAATGGCAGGCTAATTGTAGCTCAGATACACAACTTTATCTTGAGGATCCACAATTTTGCTGTTGACTGACCAAAATCTGAAATACTTCCAGAGTACCTATCACTCTCTCTGTGGGTGAAATGGTTTGGGACTGCTCTGCCATCATTACTACACAGTTGATGTTGAATCATTTGCTCGTTTCAGCTTGACCTACATTTAATTTTTAACTAAAGCAAGTTACGTTGTGTGACTCCTTGTCCGTCACATATTCAGTGCAGCAACACAGGCTCACACGTGAAAACATTAGGCAGTCACAATAGTGTGTGTGCTTTTACCAGGGCTCCACTGCTGAGCAGGATCATGAAGATGATGAGGGTTTCAAACCAGTTGTGTTCTACAATCAGGTAGCAGGTCTTCCTCAGGAACCACCAGTATTTCCCCCAGCCATGAGTTATGGGAACATCACAGCACTTGTATTTGGCCACACATTCTGTATAACAAATAAAACCACGACTGCTGATGTGTACAAAAACACCATAGACACAACGCATTATCTATCAGAGTGCCATTATTATAGTATGTACAATGTTAATAATAATTCCTGTAGTCAATACCACCTACCATCTGTCCAGCAGGGTTCTGGGTCAAGGTACTCCTCCACTACCTCTACCACTGCCACCTCCTCCACATCAGGCTTGATGTCTATTGTGCTGCCCTCAGACGAACTGGTGTCATCCTGCTCGGACAAACAAGTGCACCCAAAGAGATCAGTTCAACCTCTGCATTTCTCTCTGAACATTATAGGCTCAACAGTGAGGTGCTCAAAGCATATGGATATGCACAGTGCCAGTCCAGCCATTACAATTATATCCCTTTAGGTTTAGAAGCATGACATGATTTATTGCTAGAGATCTACATGTTTTAGTCATGTGGTATAGCTAGTTCTCCCTCTGCCACTGCCTGGTCTGCAGAATCACTAATAGATTGCCAAGGAAGTGATAAACTGCACAGGTAATGATGTCCACTACTATACATGCATAAATATAGATTCATTTATTTGTGATGAAAGAATTAAAACTATTATGCTTGTACATGAACATTCAAACAAAAGAGTCAGTTGAACACACAAAAAGAACTGTGATAAAAATATGATTAATTTGTGAAATTAATTTCAGGTATATTTTTGTATACCTAAAACAATTTTACTAACATGTGTAAGGTGTAATAAAGAGGAATGTGAAATCTCTCCTTTTAAAACACTTAAACCATGGCTTGTTTTTGGTTCCCCTGTACCAATAAATCATGCCACATCTTAACAATATGTCAAGGTGAGCCAGCGTAATATCAGCCTTATTGCAATAAAGCACACACACATTTGTGCACATAGAGACACAAACACTCAGCCAGTTCAGTTCACTAGAGAGTGATACTGCACTTTATAATGTTAAGTCATCAGCAAAAGACCACATTCAGACTTTCTTTTCCTCCCTCTCTTTCCTCCTTCAAACCAATGGATGCCTGTTTTTCTAAATCACTCTTAGCTGTAACTGTGTCTAAGCCCTGCAGTGCACCCTGTGGCTGGCTTCTTGTATGGTTGGTTGAGGTAGCCTAGTGGAATATCATCCTGGTGTAGGTACAGTAGTGATGTTGGCAGCTTCATGCTGCTGCATTATCTCCTTTCTTCAAACCAGGTCAAGGTGACCCGTGTATCATATTCTCTACAAGCTTTTGGGCCTGGCTTGCCTGTTTCCCACATTCAAACTATACAATAGCCAGTGTGTGTCTTTGTCTGTTGTCTCATCATGACTGCCTCTATCTCTATCTGTCTGCAGGGTCAGTAGTCAGACTCAGCCGTTACTGATCTCATGTCTAAATAGATGTTCTGAAATGTCAGTCAAACTAAATGTCATCAGTGTGGCAGCTCAGACCACTTCGGCTTAATGGATCAAACGATGCCACTGTGGACACACACAAACACACACGTTTATGTATGTGCACTCTTGCATCCCCTTACATTACATGATTAAGTCACCTTTTGGCTAAACTATATTGTGGCAGTAGCTTTGTCAATGTTAACATCTGAAGTTTATGCTGATTTCAAAGGTACATTTCTATTCTTTTAAGCAAGTTATTAAGCACAGTCATGTTACATTTCTGAACTGTCCCAAATCTCCACTAAAGACCATTTGAAATGGCTGCTTCAGAAACATACATCAGCTGCAGGTCACACAAAAATGACTTCTTTTAAAATCCTCATCATGAAAGCCATCTGAATAAGGACCTTTATTCATTTTTGAGGAGTGCCTTGAATTTTACTTTTTTCCAGTCATCAAGCAATAATTTATCCAAAACCCAAACTATAATAAACACTTAATCAAATACATCCCCCGCTTCCATCATTCCTCCATTCTCACATTTACAAGTCCTTTCTACTCACATCTTTACTGTTCTCCAAATCCGATTCACTGCTGAAGTCTTCTGTATTTAGGTTTTCAAAGTCCGACTCGCCAACAGCAATAGGAACACAGACAGTGAGGTTGGGGTTGTGGATGAAGGACATGTAGTCCTCATCAATCATATACTTTCCCACACTGCTCCCAATGCCACTGGTGGTGCCGTTCCCATTTTTAGCATAGTCCAGTTCACGGTTGATGTCCACTGTGTGGTTTCCAATGTAGTTGAGCTTCTTCTCATACATTTCATCCAGAGGCTTCTGTTCATCCTCTATAGGCTGCTTGTCAGAGTGACAAAATAGTATGTAAAAAAAACAGGCTAAAACAAAACAAGAATGCCATCAGAGCTGTTTGACTATGACACACATTGACAACAGCTATAGCTCAAGTTATTTAACAACCAAGAATTGCTCATGCATATACCACAGACATTTATTTACTGTATATGGTACCTTTTTGACCACTGTGGCTGCAACGACCCGCATTTTAGCCTTGAACCAGGCAATCCCATTTTTTATACGGACAACCGCAATCTGGAGGTTGTTGGGCTCACCATCATCATCAGTGGCAGCAAGGTTGTCTGCACTGAATGAGCTCAGCAGCAAGGCCAGGAACAGATTCAACACCTCAAAAAACAAAACAAAACAAAAAATTAAAAAAAAAAACACCATAAAAGATGGAAAACCCATTTACTTGCAGTAAATTTTGGGAAACTACAGTGTGCTACAATCTTCCAGCAGCATCTATGCTATCAAATCTTTGTTTTGCCTTACCACCAGGTTTCCAATGACCATGACCATCATGAAGACGGTAAGGCACATGGTTTGTCCTGCCACCTCCATACAGTCCCACATGGTCTCAATCCACTCCCCACACAACACTCGGAATACAATCAGGTAAGAAGTCCTTCATGTGCCAGCGAGGTAGCTTACAGCTTTCCGCGATCTTACACACACAGTCTTTGTAGTTTTTTCCAAACAGCTGCATGCCCACCACAGCAAAGATGAAGACGATGATGGCCAACACCAGGGTCAGATTACCCAGAGCTCCAACTGAGTTTCCGATGATCTTGATCAGCATGTTGAGGGTGGGCCATGATTTGGCCAGTTTGAACACTCTTAACTACAAGAGAAACGGGAACTGGGATTATTCCACAGTTACTGATATTACTTCTAATTTTAACATTATGTGAAGCAAATGTATTGACTGCTAACATGTGACTGCCATTTGGTCTGGTTTACACTTTTATTAAAGCCCATGACATGCTTTTCCTTGTTTTCTGAGTTATCTACAATGCTACAACAGTGAATTATCATCTTAGACGTGACCTAAAGCTAAAAAAAATGGGGTGTACGTATGTTATAGTACTTCTGTGCAGAAGCAACTCGGTTTATACATGTCTCACAAACAGACTTTTTTCCTAACAAAATTAAGTATTATGTGATAGTTTAACGATTTCCTTGAATGGTCATAATCTCCAGGCAGTTGCATGTTCATGTGAGCTTGCCTGACATCCACCTGAACCATTGTAAAAGCAGAATTTTTCAACTGCTCCTGGTTTTGTGGATATATTTTACCTCCTGCTGCTGTACTGTGACCAGCGGATGTGGAGAAAAATACAGGGCCTGAGATTACTGCATGCCTGGGCATGTTCCTGTACAGGGGTTCCATTGTTTTATTGTTCTTTGGTTTTATTTATTGAAATAATTACTGACAATCTGGAATTATGATGGGTGCCAAGATAATCTAGAGGTGCCCAAGATTAAACATTAAATGGCTGGAAATGAGCAAAATGAGCAAATAAACAAAACCTACACAGTCTTACTGGTTTACTAGTTATGGAAGCCCCTTGGTGCTTTAAACATAAAAATATTAAAGAAAAAGCAGCATTATGCGAGAAATAAAATCGAATGTGTGACAGTTAAAAGATGAACATTTTTTTAATGAATCTTTTCAGCTTGACAGTTTTATCTCTGATTAATGATATGCTGACACATGATGTGTACATGATGGCCAGAAGAGGATTTATACAGATGATGACATTCTACTTACCAATCGGAAAGACCTGAGCACTGACAGACCTTCCACATCAGCCAATCCGAGCTCAACTAAACTCAGAGTCACGATGAAGCCATCAAAGCAGTTCCAGCCTTCCTGGAAGTAGTAGTAGGGATCCATGGCAACCAACTTGGCAAACATCTCCCCAGCAAAGATACCAGTGAAAACCTGTAGACTCACACAAAATACCAAATAAAGTTTAGAAGTATCACTGCACAAATTTGGGATTTACATAGTGAGTTATGAAGGAGTGTGTAGAATGCTGCATTTATAATTTCATGGTGCACCTACTAGCACAGCACGACATTGGTACCGCTTTCTAGGAAGTAACAGCAGCTGTAACAGATCATTACAGTTAAATTTCCAGACTATGGCTTTATCCAATCTGATTTAAAAAAATCTGACAAAAAGTTTTAAATCTTTAAAATAACAAAAAATTTTCAAAAAGTAGAAAATGGCAAAATGTCATATCTCGTCTTTATTTAAAAGTCTTAAGGGAAATTTAAGTGTAGAATGCACTTGCTTACATTGCATTTATTGATGAAGTAGTGCTGATTAAAAATGAATTGAGATTGCTCAGTGTGAGGACTGTTTTGTCAGGGCAAAGTCACAAAGCAACAGCAACATGTCCCAGCAGAACTCATATGGAGCTGTAGTACCCTGAGCCTCCCCCTATGGTCTACCCAACAGGTAATTGTTTGCCCGATCAGTGTTACAGAGAACACCCAATGATTCATACCACACCATCCATCATGCCACACTGATTCCTTTGAGTTCTTGTTTCACTCTTGACAGTATGCCAATCCATTTAACCTCATTTCCTGTCCTATTACTGGCACTGTGCCAATACTGCTCCCCGTGCAACTCACTGAAGTCCCTGTTTTACCTCTAAACCGAGTTTATTGTCACACACTGGATTCCTAATGCTAATACCTGAGACATGATGGTGTTTATATTTAACTAATCACAAGATGCTAGCTCTGCAAACACACACCTCATCCCCTCCCCCCAGCGAGTACCTGGAACTTGATTTAGCACCATCTCCTAAGGGGCATCGAAATTTAGCTCCTGGAACGTGTCTCCAAATTGGGAGGAGGGTAGTGGAAGCAAAAGCAGAAGCCAGGACAAGGGGTACCAGTTCCTTTATGGGTAGTAAGCTCCTACAGTGGAAAAGGCCTATTTGACAGATCAGTGGCAAGCCTTCTTATCATGACTGCTATGTTTTTGTATGTGCGTGTGTCTAACAGAGAGAAAGCTTGAGACAGCAGCGTTCAGTAGAGGTGAGGTAAGCGGGATACAACGAATGCAGGGGAGTGGAGAGTTTGGGGAGCAGGCTGACTGGCTACATTAAAATGGAACTAAATCTTTAATGAAATACCATCAGAGTCATATATACACTATGAGTGTGTTTATTCTTAAGTGCACATACCAAATGATGTATTGGTTTGAGGTTATATTGGTGGGGCAAACTGAACGTGCAGTGTTCCTGTAGCTCCTGAGAGAGATAATGAAGCTCATGCAGGCATAAAAAGACAAATGGCAAAGGCTAAAGAAAGGGCAAAAGAACAGCTACAGCTTCTCACCAGGTTGCCAGTCGCCAAGACACTTTCAAATTGCTCAGTCATTGGGTGGTGCTCCATGGCCATGAAGAGAGTGTTCAGGACAATACAGATGGTGATGGCCAGGTCAACAAATGGGTCCATGACAATCAAGTGGACTATGTGTTTGATTTTCAGCCAGATGGGACAACATTCCCAGATGAGGAAGATGTTGGCAAACTTGTACCAACAGGGAGGACACCTCCTCTGAGACTCCTCCAACTCTGCAGGAACAGGAGAAGCAGAAAGAAAACTGACAAGGCTGAGAAAAACAAAACAGTTTATAGTGAATACCTAAATTCACTCAAGCAAAGCTGTATAAAAGACAGCATCTGTGTCTGGACATCATGCTGTCCAACCTGCCTAATAATGAAGATGGCATGCATACATCTGACAAACCCATATTTAACTCCAAGTGTAAATGCATGGCTCATTAAGTGCAGATTCTATTTTTGTAAAAGGTGTAAATTTTGGTTAAACATTTTGAAAAGAAAAAAGGAAGAGATGAGTACTCCCTGTACCCTCTAACAGTGTGTTGGTGACTACGCTCATCTGACTATTGGCATGGTCTTTTCCTTTGAAGGAGGAGTTCAGCTGATCCACAGATACCATGAGAGAGCCAGAGTGCTTCTTCTTAATCTCCAAGTCTGTAGTCTGTACTCAGAAAGACATGACGTCAGTCAGCGATAGTACTCACATGAATGCGTATTTGCAAACTAACACACTATAAAACTAAATGATAAATGATGCTCTGGGACTGCTCAGAACAAAAACCCTTATGATAAATGTGTCTCTGATTTGTTCCATTTAAGTATTTCCTGCAATATTACATATCATACAACACATTTCAAAATCAAATTCAAATAGCTGCCTTAATTTACTACAGCTGAGGAGAGAACCAAGTCTTTATTTACAGTAATTTGACATGTTTATTTCGAATTTCCACTGATTTCTATACATAGTAAGCAGCTATTTAAAAATTTACAGTGCACTTTCTAAGCCTTTCACTGACTATTATGCACAACATAACTATGTCCCTAAGTAAGCATCATTAAACTGCATGCAATGGCATGCATGTCAAGAACAGGGGGAAATTTGATGCTACAGTTCACCATGCTACATTTAAAGGGAGGTAAAAGGAAGTAGAATTGTTAAGAATAAAAGAGGAGTCTCTCATGCTAGTTAAAATGAGGAGACATTGTTACAGAGAGTTTCAGATTTGTTGTTGCACCATCCAGTGGCTCAGGGGCAGAGGATAATGATAACAAGAAAGAAAGATGGGGTCAGAAAGAGAGTGAAAGTGAAAGAATGAGAAATGCAGGGGTAGATAAAAGCAGGGGCAGAAAAAAAGTATAGACCTGAGTGTGGAAAGTACCTAACAGTGGAAGAAATAGAAGTGAAGTAGAAGTAGGAAATTAATGTTTTTTTCTTTTAAAATGGTTTGCCAGTGTTTTTTTTTATGAATGACAATGGCTGTTAGAGGAATAAAGGGTGGCTGACATCATACTGCATTGCTGTTAGATAGAACTTTTTCAGCTGGTTAGTGCCTTCTAGAGTGGTTATAAAAGGAGCAGCAGAAAAAGGGCATTAGATCAGGGTGGAAGTGGTAGTGTAAGATGAAATGAAAGAATGTAGATATTCAGGGGAAGAAATGGAAACTACTGCATTTAGGGAAAAGAGGAACACGAGGCAAAGGGAGGAGACTGAAGGAGAAGTTGCAAAGACTAGGGCCACCACCCTCATGCCTAGACTGTATTGGTGTCCCATGGACGTCCTTACACTGTCATCAGTGGCTGCCTTATCTATTTTCACCTCAGGCAGAAGCCGTCTGCCAGGCCCAGGGCCGATGAGAGATACGATGCCATTGCAGTCCACCGTGCTGTTCCTCTTTCCTCCAGAATGGGGTGCCAGCGGGTGGATGCGGGATGAGCCCACTGTAGCTGTTGCGGCGGTAAGGGATAAAAAGGGAGCCCCGACGGTCTTCACTTTCCTCTACTGTACTGTGCTCGTCATCAGCAAACTCATTCTCTGAGCCCACGTCCTTAGAACGGCCTTTGAAGCTAAAGATGCTGCTGCGGCTGTTGTGGCGTGACATGAAAGGTGAGCCCGGGATGCTGAGTAGTGACTAAAGAGGCAGAGACAGACGCACACAGGGAGAGTTGAGTAGTTATTAAAAACAGCAGGAGTTACTTGATGTGTAAATAAAAGAGGTCAACGAGGTGAGGAGGTCAAGGGGGCAGGGCAGAGTGCTCATAGATAAACCAAAAGACAGAGAGATAAAGAATGAAGAATTTCAAGCAAATAATGAAGTATGTAACATAAAAAGAGGTTTCATTCTTTTCTGCTAGGGATGTAACAATACCAAAAAATGATATTGCCATGATAGAAAGTCCACGACACAATACTTGTCACAATATAAAAGAATAAAAACCAAGAAGATAAAAAAGATGGAAAAAAGGCCTTTTATTAAATAATAAATCAGCGTTTTTTTGTATGATTTTCCTTTTAACTTAAAGTGCTCCTGCTTTCCTCCTTTATTAAAATAAATATAGCCAGCCATGAACTAAAGGTGTGCAAAAACTTGAATAGTCATTGGCACTGAATCACTGAACTGTTTGTACAACTGCAAAACAAAAAAAGAGACAGGCCACAAAATCCATACAATCATCTTGCACTGAAATGCAACTCGACAAAATCAAAGGCCTAGGTAGTCTTCTTCTTCTTTCGGCTGTTCCCGTTAGGGGTCGCCACAGCGAATCATCTGGTTCCACCTAACTCTATCTTTGGCAACCTCTACTCTTGCCCCAACTAACTTCATGTCCTCTTTTAGCACATCCATATATCTCCTCTTTGGCCTTCCTCTCGACCTCTTGCCTGGCAGCTCCATCTCCAACATCCTTCTACCAATATAACCACTATCTCTCCTCTGCACATGTCCAAACCATCTCAATCTGGCCTCTCTGACCTTCTCCCCAAAACAGCCGACCTGAGCTGTCCCTCTGATGTGCTCATTCCTAATCCTGTCGATCCTGGTCACTCCCAGTACTGATGAAAATGTTCAAAGCATGACAGTACCAACATCAAATTCTATCTGTGGCCACTCCTGGTGTGCAAAGTGCCAGTTTTAACCACTGAGGCTAGAGCATGATCACACTCCACAGGCAAAGTAACAAGCTGTAGCTACGATTCAGATGACTGAAGGAGGAATTCAAAATGGCATGGATCAGTGAGCTGCTGCAGTATCAGGTGGCACTGAAGTGAAGACTAGAACAAAGTGATGAGTAGACAGTGTTCCCTCACGCAAAAAGTCAGAGCTCTGTCACAGCAGCCAAATGACCAGAGGAAGAATCTCCAAGTCCAGAAGGAGGTGAGGGCAGCAGTGAGAACCTGCAGAGTGGTGTCAGCGATACAGGAGGCTTTGTCAAGAGAGAAAAACAATTTAGAGAGAAATGTCATCTAGGCCAAGCTGTATAGGGCTAAGCCCCAAGATGAAACTTCTTGACCATGCAGTATAAGATATGCTACCCAATCCATCACACCTAAACATGTGTGCCAAAGCAGAGTCATCAGCATGTCCACACTCTGCGGAAAGCAGAATTCCAGAAGACATCTTGTGCTGCTGTTCCTGTGCCCTGGCAGAGGAATGATATCGCTGGCACCATGACCAGGTCTTGAAGACCAGTGCCCAAGCCATCAGTGTAGGAATGTGCTTGAGCCAGAAGACTCGCCTTTCCAAGCATGACAACATCTTCATCAGAGCCAGGGCAAAGGCAAACATTTCAGTCTCTTGAGAAGGCCATTTAGATACAGCCTTTGAGAGGAATGTTACATGGTAAGAGGGACTTGGTCAGCAAATGCAGGAAAGGTGGTTGGAGAGCCACCAAGTGTCTGCCTGCTGAAGCTGGATACATTGGCTTTGCATCCTATCTCTGGCTAGAGCACAGAACTCACTAATCAAGAGAGAAGAGTCATGAGAGAAAGTCCCTACAGTAATTTTCCTTCTGAAAATAAGCTGAGGCCTAATGTATAATGTGTCCACAAGTACCAATAAATTAGGTATCAAGAATTACCTGATTCATGATGGACGTCTTCCTCCCTAGCCGGCTTCCTGGAAAACGAATTGTGCTTTTCTTGCTGCCATCATCTGACTCAGACTTAACAACCTTTTCGCTGTCTCCCTTTTCTTTCTCCTGCTCTTTCTGACGCCATTTCTTCTTCCGATTGCGACGCTCCTTGGCACTCTTTGAGCTCAGCTTGGAGACCTCAGAAGAGCTTCGGGACAAGTGCCCCCTTCCTTCTTCCTCTAATGCAGCCTCAGACACCGTGCCTGCAGATGTCGCCATAGCACAAGCCTGAGAAAAAAAAAAGAAGAAAAGAAACATGATAAACATAAACCATAAAAAATAAGTAAAGGTGTGTGTGTATGTGTGAGAGAGTGAGACCAGCCTGTGTCTCCTCCTGCTGCTTCTTCAGCTGCTCCAGCATAGCCTGGAATTCAGCTTCTTTCTGCTCAGCTTCCTCCATAGTGGCCTGGTTCTGCTCCTCATAAGCCATGGCCACCACAGCCAAGATCAGATTCACCAGGTAGAAGGAGCCCACAAAGATGACCAGCACAAAAAAAATCATGTAGGTCTTACCAGCAGCTCGCAGAGTCTGACAGAAAACACAGACAAAGCAAAGACTTTTAGAGTGACTTAATATAGAAGACAATGTTGTTGAACATACATATTGTGCTTTTGACAAAATATAAATGGATGCAGGCGGCACAGTGGTTAGCACTGTCGCCTCACAGCAAGAAGGTTCCAGGTTTGAGCCCCAGCCAACCCGGGGCCGTTCTGTGCAGAGTTTGCATGTTCTCCCTGTGCGTGTGTGGGTTTTTTCCTGGTGCTTGGGCTTCCTCCCAAAGACATGCAGCTTAGCTTGACTGGCGACTCTAAATTGCCCGTAGGAGTGAGTGTGAGTGTGTGTGGCTGTCTATCTACGTGTCAGCCCTGTGACAGAATGGCAACTTGTCCAGAGTGGACACCGCCTCTCGCCCAATGTCAGCTGGGATTGGCTCCAGCCCCCCTGCAACCCTATTCAGGAATAAGCGGTATAGTTAATGGATGCATCCTAGTAAATCAGCTACAGTGCCTTGCGAAAGTATTCGGCCCCCTTGAACTTTGCGACCTTTTGCCACATTTCAGGCTTCAAACATAAAGATATAAAA